CTACCTAAGAGTTATGGCCTCCAACCCAAGAGCCATGGCCTCCAACCTAAGAGCGGTGGTCCATGTAATAATAGCTATGTATAATATATACATACATATGATGTTCTAAGTGTGCTGTTTTCTCTTGTTCTAAGAGTGCTTGCGGTCCATGTTCTAAGTGTGCTTGCACTGGATGTTCTAAGCTCGATGTTCTAAGTAAAGGAATTTCCATTTTGGAAAAATTATGTTCTAAGTGTATGTCTGCAAGTATAGAGACAACAACACCTTTTGAGGGGGGGTCCAAAAAACAACAATGGGGTTGCAGTTTTTACTACCACTACCACTACCACTACTACTACTACTATACTACTACTACTACGACAACGACAACGACGACTACGACGACTACTACTACTACTACGACTACTACTACTACTACCACGACGACGACTACTACTATTCCTAATACTACCTCTATACCACTACTACCACTACGACGACGACGACTGCTACCAATCCTACTACTATACTCTTACTCCCACTCCGACTCCTACTCCTACAACTACTACAACAACGATACAAGCGCGTCAGGGGGGATCCAAAAACAACGACGGGGCTGCAGATTCTCTGTTTCCACCCCCTTGTAGAGACAAAGGAGCAAGATATGTTGAAACGGGGCTCCAGTTTTTGTTTGTACCTTGTTGTTGTTGTTGTTGTTGTTGTTGTTGTTGTTGTTGTTGCGTTTGCGTGGCGCCGTGCCACTGCGGAGCGCGAAACATGCTGGCGTAAACGCGGCGTGTCGCTCGTGAGCGGGATGAACTGGCGGTATCGTGTGATAGGATTGCTTCTAGTGTGTGGGCAGACCGTGTGGCGAATTACGTCCGTGATGTCGTAGTGCCATGCGGATTTGCGCGGCCTTGGTGGAAAGTGCGTTTGCGAGGCGCCGTGCCGCTGGGGAGCGCGAAACATGCTGGCGTAAACGCGGCGCGTCGCTGGTGAGCGGGATGATTGGCGGTATCGTGTGACAGGATTGCTTCTATAGTCTGTGGGCAGACCGCGCGGCGACTTGCGTCCGTGATGTCGCAGTGCCATGCGAATGTACATGGCCTTGGTGGAAAGTGCGTCTGCGTGGCGCCGTGCCACTGGGGAGCGCGTCAGATGCTGGCATAAACGCGGCGTGTCGCTGGTGAGCGGGATGATTGGCGGTATCGTGTGATGGGATTGCTAGATCAGTATTGGATCGTGTGATAGGATTGACGTTGCGCTGCCGTTGCATCTACGCATCTACATCTACACCCCCTCACCTCTGTACATTTACATCTTCACACGCTCGCACCCGCAGATCTACCTCTCTACCTCCACACACCCACACATCTGCGCATCTATATCACATCTGTACATCCACGCTGTCACTCCTTCACATCCGCCCTCTCTTTCTTTCTTTCTTTCTTTCTTTTCTCTCACCGCTGTACATTTACATCTTCACACGCTCACATCTGCAGATCTACCTCTCCACCTCCACACATCTGCGCATCTATATCGCACCTCCTGCGCATCCACACTGTCACTCCTTCACATCCGCCCTCTCTTTCTCTCTTTCTACATATCTGTTCTCTTAATATTTTCACTCTAATTTCTTCGCAACTTCTTACTCAATAACAGATTGTATAAAGAAGTCATGGCTCTTGGACAAATCGGTTTTAGTTATTTCATGACTCGACAGTGCTGGGCAATCACCTGTCTCGCTCTCGGGCCAACCGTCGTCTAGTACTTCACCTTTTTCCGTGTGGATTCAGGACTTTGACATAGAGGCAATTCCATCCTACCACATGCCATATCCAGCATACAGCTTTCTCTCGTATGGCCACGAGGACGGCTGGTTGATCCGATAGATTCGATCGGAAACAGCGAATCGAATATGGCGCGAGATACCTTCTCAGCGTTAGAGAAAGAAAGAGTTAAGCAATGGCTCCTTGGATAGCCCTGTGTTGCGGTTGCTCGTGGCTGAATGGCGGGCCGGAGCCCTCGGTCGCATAAGCGAGCCCGCTGGCATTGAGCGCTGGGCGCATGCTGTGGCGCTGCTCCTCGCGTCGCGCGCTGGTTGGGCGGAGTGGCGCTACACCTCTTTGATCTGCGAGATTTCTATGTCTCAGCCACGGTCCCAATTCCATGAACTATGCAGTCTGATTTCGACCGCGCCCATTGGTAAGATGCATCATAAAGGTGAGGGTTGTGCATGGGGTGTGCCAGCCATGGGAGTTGAGCATACGCCCACTTCCCCACTTCACTCTCAAGCTAGGACCTGTGCGACGAAAGTGCATGGAACCGCGCGCCGGTTGGAGCAGGCCTAACTGTGCTCCAAATGAGATACGTAGTTTTCGCAGGGCTGTTCGTCGGGCTCAGGTTCAGGATGAAACGTTCATGTGCAAGGCCCTTGGAGGCGCTTGAACCACCACTCCTTCTTTGAAGTGACCTTGCGCTTGACCCCTTGCGTCGAAAAGATCTGACAAACCAACTTCACGCATGTGGTTGGGAGCACGGAGGGTGTGGACACGAAAACGAACTTTGAAGCAGCTCAAGCATGCCCCATGCCATGAAATCCTTTCTTGTCTTCTGGTTGAACGTAAGGCCGTAAGCTGCATGGGCAGTGCAGGCACGCGCTCATGGAATGTTTGCCGAGGCTCGTGAGGCCTCGGGACTACAACTTTGTGGACACAGGCGTATACTTAGCCCTCTTGAGGAATTCTGCCATTTCAAGCGGAACCACCTTGAGTTGGCTGATGCTCTTAGAGGGCTGACGGTGATGAAGAGCAGTGCGCCCAATGCCACAAAACTTACAGTACTTTCCGTTGTTGCCCTGCTTGGGTTGCCAATCAATTTTTGTGCTTCTTTCTTCTTGATCGAACATCTCTCCCCTTCTGTGCCCCGTCATTGGAAGAACGGAGGCTTTTGTACGTGTTTCTGAAGCCCAAAAAGAAATCTTGTTCGGCCCAGAACAATCGTTTGCTTGCTCTCCAAAATGCTCTTGGTAAGACGGCCATTGGTATTGCTGGGAGTACGCAGCCCATTCTCCCTCAGCTTTCCTTTGGAAGAAAACGGCAGAAGCGATGGCTGGACGTCGCGGACACCTTCGATTTGCTTCCGCAGCCTTTGAATGCAATCCTGCTTCAGCGTCATGTGGTGCCCTGAGCCTTTGCCGCGCCGGCTGTGTGGTGTATTGTTGGCGGGCTGTGGCCTGTTGTTGGACAATGGCCAGCGCCGGCGCTCGGCTCAATCGTGACAATGGAGAGGGTGATTTATGTATATATGATGTTCACCTCAAGACGGACAAGACCAAGTCGCACAGACACTGCGGTCGCGCGACAACAACTTCGGGGATGGAAACATCGCCCCCAAGTCTGCCACGAGATGGCTGCCGAAGCGAGAGGAGCAGTTTGTGTAGGTGTCTATGCGAAATCAGTTCATCTTTCACTTCAAGATGGAGCGCTCCCACTCCTGAAATGTTGGCCGCCAATGGCTCCCGCGCCTTGCTCGCGAAGTTGCAGACTTGGTTCACCCAACAGAAGACACAGCTTGCAGAGGAAACACTTCTTCGGAAGGACCCAATCCGCAATTCATCGTGACTCAGTGAGATGGAGAGCAAGATCCAGACCCTGGTGAAACGCTGAGCTTCAGGCCCTCTAAAAAACGATGCAATGGCAGCCCTCTTTGTGTTTGGCCAACCCATCTTACGCCACAGCTGCGTGCGCTGTTTGAAGAGGAACGGACAATAGATTGACAGCAGCTTGGCTGAGTGCCATGTTGGAGCTCCGACTTCAAAACGATGGTGCCTGGTGCTATGCCATGATCTCTTTTTTATGGCATCAATCTTTAGTGCAGTTTGGTTTCAGGACTTGGGCCAAGCGCTCGGGCCATTGTGGGGTTGTATCAGTTGTAACTCTCCCCCAGCATGTGGTCGGGTGCTTGGGATCAGTCTCTCTCACTAAAGCCAATCTTCAGAACACATGTAATCGCACTCGATCCGGATCGTACGTGGTCAGACTCTGAAGAAAAGTTTCATGTGTCCTGATTGTTCGTGAATTTCCGCAGCTTCATATTACTGTAAGTGATGTTGTAGAACCACCAAGACAAGCAAACTGCACGACGAATCAAGTCTGGAAACAACAGCCAGAGGTATTGGTATTGTTTACCTTGAGGTTGATGGTTGATCCGACGCAGGTGCGATGTTTACCAGTTTCATTCTGTACTCACACTGTCCCATGTCTTGTGAGGTTGGTACGCGAACCAGTTCAGAAGCATGTTCCAGTTTCAGGTGTCCTCCTGAAATGTCATTGTCTCATAGTCATAGTGTTGTTTGAGACAGTGCCCTCAGCACTGTGTATTTCAAAAGGCAAGACAGTCCTGATAGCTTGCCAAAGCAGCCACCTGTCACATGACCATTTGGGTTCTTGTTTCGAGCAAAGGGCAGGCTTCACGTTCAACCGTTCCCCTTTTTGAGTCTGCTAAAGTATGCGTGAACACAATCTGAGTAATTGCTTGGAGCCGCTTTGTTTGGATGATATTCAATTCAGCGGGCTCTAGCATCTCGATTTCCTGTTCAAACAGTTTGACCCACATGCCTAGGTGCCCTCCCTCTCCCGACTTCGGACCCAAAGCTCAGCAAACGACCGGTCTTGCGATCTGCCTCCGAGCTGCTGAGCGATGCAAAGATTGGGGGGGCACAGGTTCGGGAGACGCATAGCAGCGGAGAGCCTGAGGTTATAAGATTCAAGCAAAAACCAAGGAGTGTTCCGCAGCTCAGAGATGGGTATAGGTATAGGTGAATTGTTTGCTTCCAATAGCAATGCACCTTGAGGTCACAAATAAACTTGGGCTCGACTGCAGCTCGAACTGACTCTTGGCTTGTGTCCTGTGTGCCATTTGCTTCGGGTGGTTGATTGAAGGTTCAGGCGCTAGAAAAATCATCGCTAGCGCCATTGTTCATATCACATTTGAGTGAAGATCATGTGCACTTCCGCCCAAAAGTCTGAAGGGGAGTGTGTCACAGACATGATAGAGCCGAACTGTTTCAGGGCGTGGATCCTTGTTTGCTGGCGTCCAATAAATTTGACACAGGTAAAGCGCTCCCTGACCGAAGAGAAGGCCTGGTGGTGCCTCAGGCTGCATACAGAACGTTTCCGCATTGTTCCTGCCACATGGCAGTGCGTTGTCGCCCACATCGTATGGCCTTCCTGTGGGTTGTTCAACCTGGTAAGGACCCAACTTAAGATCACCACCTGCTAGCAGGCTCATGCTGACCCAACATACGACATGATCAAAATAACCACAACACCAACTTGCTTCAACCTTGCTCAAACATAAGTTGACCCTTTAAAAAACAGTTTCATGGCATTTCCAACTGCCAAGTCACACCCTCCAAGTTTGCCTATCCAACTGTTCTTGGTATTGACTCGAGTGGTTCTCGGATTTGTTTCAAATATTCAGTTCTTTTGATTTGGGCAGTCTAACACAAGTGGATGTTGGTTAATTCGTTGATCCTCGGTCCCACGCACCCAACACAAACTTGCAATGCGCTGGGAGATATTAATTGAAAAGGAACTTTTAGAAGTGAACTATCTCGACAAAAAGACACCAACAAAAAGCGAACCGGGTGCGTCATATCGCACCGACGAGAGCGCTCAAACCCTCCGTGGATCACTAGAACCCTGGTTTAGCATAGGCCTGGAGCTGCAACGAGGAACATACATACATGTTACATATGCATATAATGTAGACTCTTGATTAATAAAGCGAGGTGATGCAGAGGATTTCCAATTCAGATTGGGGGGTTATTAATCAAGAGTCTACATTACAATAGGTATATGTGTATATCCCTCTGATCTCATTCATAAAGTCATATGGCATACCGGCAGCAGAGTTACTGCAACATTGGCGCTTCATTCAATGAAGCTAAAGGAAGCTAAAAGAAGGCAAAGCAGTTGAGAGGAAATCGCATTCCAAAAAGTTCACGTTCACCACTGAAAGCAGCAAAACAGTTTGCAAGAGGCATTTCTGCCGCCAGGAATGTACATCCTTCTATTCTGGAGCTGGTTTTCAGCTGCAATTCTTCATTTTTGAGGGAAAGGTCGCAAAAACTAGAAACAGAAACATGGAAGAATCAAATGTAGATCTAGCCTGATCTAGCCACATTGTTTGATCCTTATGATCTGCAGGGCGTGCTTTGGGACACAACATCCTTCAACGTCTGCTCTTCAGAGCGCATAGTCCTTGAACCATCCATGTAGATGACAGAGACTCCCGCTGCCCAGAATCACCGCATCACCTGACAGGCACTCACAGGGCTGATGCTTTTGATACCTGACAACACTGAACTAACATGACCGAAAGCCTGAGTGAGTTGGAGTCGCCCCCAATGGTGTCCAATGGTCAGTTCCATGGACACCAAACCAAAACACCTCAGAATGCTTGATATTGCTTCGCTGTGTGCTTGCCGCTGGAGAGCCGCTTCAGGTAGACATATAGCAAATAACTTCAGTTGAAGACAAAGGTCCTGTGATCATGATCCAAAACAAAACCTGTTTTCAACTCTCATATGAGTGGCGAAGCTGCTTCAAGAGATCAAACGTGTATGTGTGGAACACACCCTTGCGTCTTCCTGAACTAGTTAGTGCCCTTGAAAATGACTTGAGTAAGAACATTGTGTGAATTGTTGGGTCCCACAAGGAGGCCTTCTTCTGAAGATGATACCCTTGAGCCTCAACCAACCTTGCAGTATTGCTGGTGGGGGGCCAGGAGGTCAACTGAAGTTTCGTCAGTTCGGACAGGCTTGAATGTGATAAGTATTAAGTATTTGACAAATGTGCCATCACGCAAATCATATAGGCCAAACAATTCACACCCAACCCAAGTACCTGGGATTTGCTTAGAAGAAAAGTGTAAAGACAAAGCGTCTGAGGTGGCTTGATGTCCCCCAAAGGCGAGCGTTGAAGATGTGAGCGCAAAGATGAGGACGAGTCTGAGTCTTTCTGAGGGCTCAACCAACTCAGCAAATTCAGCGGACTCAGCGAAGGTTTTGCTTCTGATAATGTAGATTTTTTGGATCGAATGCGTTGCACCAACTCTGCCTTCCAAAGACGGAGGCCTGTTGCTGTTTGCAACTGTCAGGTGGTTCAGTGTTTCACCCCAGGCAGGGCATCACTCAGCGTTTCTGGTCCTGAATGCTCATGCTCATAATCAACAGCGAAGCTAATAATTACTGCTAGGCGTTTTGCGCACAATATCTGTTGGTCACAACGGAGGAGCTACAAGAGTTGACTGCACTTTGGAGAAAATGAGAGCTAATGCCTAATAAGTTATTTTTGTTTTCCAAGGAAAGTCTAGTAAAAGAGAGTCTTGAACATGCAGCCTTTGCTTTGGAATTGTTGTGGTACGTACAGGTGCATAATGTAGGGTACTGTTTGATGCAGCACTGAAAGCTAGTGGCATGAAGCCAAGTTAGGGCCTGCTCGCCCTCTTGCGCCAGCGCTCCAGTTTCAATCTGAACAAGTTGGATACTGCAAGCAGCAAACACAGAGTCGACAGTTGGACAGAACGCTAGCGATATCATCCGAAAACAGTTTTAGTCCTGAAACTAGTTTCATCAGTAAAACCATGGTGTCTTGGAAGTTTGAGTAAAGGCCTCTGACAATCATGTGGGTTCACAGCTGTTGAACAAGCTCAAGAGTTGGCTACAGGTTAGCTGATCAAAAGCATTCACACTTGTAGCTGCCAAGCAAATTCTGAACCAACCATTTCTTAAGCCGCCTCTTTCTTAAGCCATGTTTGCTTCGATCAAAAAATGAACCAAAAGAACCGTTTCAAGAAGTCCAAATGGTGAGCCTCTGAGACTATGTCGAGAAGCAAGGCAGGCAACTCGAGATGAGTTGCTCGCAATTGTGCAAAGATCAAGATATAAGACAAGTGCTTGGGCTGCTTCAATACAGCCCCTTCTTGTTGTCTTCTATTCACACCGCTTCACGGTCGAAGCCGCCTGCACAGAGTAAAGGGAAAACAGACACGCGCAGACAGACATAGACATCCATCCATGCATACATAATACATGCATACATACATACATACATACATACATGTGGCTGCGACCGCAACCACACTGGTAGCTTCCTTGCCCACTTCCCCTTTGGGGTTCTTTCACCCTCAAACCTACCAAAGGTCGGTCCTCCAACCCTTCCCTTCCGCACTCCTTTTGTGCTGTCGTGTCCGGTGCCTTGTCCATGCCTTGAGCCAAACCACAGTGGGTCTGGGTGCTGGTCAACATTCGAAGGTGCTGCTTCCGAGGTCCGAGGTCGATGCTTTCATTCAAATCACACTGGTTCTATTCTCTTTTTCGAATGTGACTGCTCCGAAAAAGATTCTATCCATCGGCTGCTGAAAGTGCGATTTGGATTTTCTTTCAACGAATTGCTGTCATCATATATCCTGAATTTTCCTAATGCTAATACTTTCCGAAGGAATGACGAATCCATAGGCTTAGTCAAACAATCTGCAAGCATAATAGCAGTAGAAATCCATCTGCACTCCGTTGTGTTTTCCGACTGTTGTTTGATCAGCATAACCTCTATCGTCGTCCGCCACTCCTGGCAATTGGGTGTTGCCATCTTGTTCACAAGGTCGTACAGACTTTTACAGTCCGTAATCAGGAGGGCCTTTGGCTCCTTTTGCAAAGAAAGCTCAGGCTTCTGCCACTGGAAATTGCCGTCCTTAATGAATGCCCACATACATCTTAACCACGTGAGCTTGTCTAAGGAGGATGACATGGCATAAGCCTCTGCGCTTAGGGTCGAACGAACTACCCGACTGATCTGTTTGGAATGCCATGACACAGGAGAAATTTCTGAAATCTTGTTCTGGGCAAGTTCCTTCGTGCAGGTTGCTATAAACACTCCCTGTTGTGGCTTAAGCTGTGACTCTGAGGCGAAACTAGCATCCCCAAAACTGGCAAAGGTGACCTGCTTCATATCTATCGGTTGCACGATAATTGCGGTGTCTGCATTTTCCTTTGTCTCTTGAAGTATCTTGTTTGCTTCCATTAGGTCTTTGACCCGAGCTTTGCATATGCTCTTTTGCAGGCATGAGACTTTTGCCATCATGTCGGGACGCGAGTGAACTGCCGCATATTGCAGGCTACCACACAAGGCTCTTAATTGGTGTTGTTCTTGGTTCGTCACTGGCGACTCTGGTTCTTTTCTTCTGATCTTGGCTACATCTATTGGTTCAATCTGGTGCACATAATCCTTTTGCCCTACTTTGATTGAAAAATCTTCTCTCTGTTCAACGGTCAATCCTGTGAATTTGAACTTTCTATATTCCCGGTTTCCAAAAGGCAGTTTCTTCTGAAGATTCTCAAGAGCCTTATCAAATCGTGGACCTCCACCCCCGATTCCATCGTCGACATGTGTTCCCAGGATTCCATCCAGTTTGGTGGGATCTTCCGGATTTCTGAGGAGGTCTAAAGGGTGAGCTGTGAATCCTTCATGTTCCAAGCACTTACGAAACTCCTTGTAGAAGAGGAGGGGTGCATCTACCCTACCGTATGCATTGCCTTTCAACAACAACACCTGTTCCTGGCTGAGGCTAAGCATCTCTTGGAACTCCTTAACTGGGTAAATGGCCAATTCACGCTGATCCGATCGACCACGCAGAAATGCGGTTTTAATGTCGAATGATTGGATGTCCCAATGTTTTGAGCTAACTGTCTGTAATATCATCATCCGTCCGTCCCTTGACAAAGTCGGACTCTCTGTCGAGACTATCCCAACTTCGGGGTCTTGGAAACCTCTAATGACCAAACGAGCCTTGGGCTTGCGGCCTGTCGATGACGTATGATCTTCCTTCCAAGTGAGAACCCATTTGGAAGACATTATCCTGGATGGGTGGATTTTATGCCTCAGGATTGGTTCAACTGTACTTGTCTCAATCCAACATTTCAGCTCTTTACGCTTGGCTTCATCGAACTGCTTTCTTTCTGATTCCGTGAGGTTTCGATAGTTCACCTCGGTATGGCTTTTCTTTGCGGCTTTGTTCATGGCTTCGGCATGTAAACATGGGTTCTTACAAAACTTCTCCAACATTTTCATCGGAACAACGAATTCGAAACTGCAAAAGTGGGCTTCAGCTATTTCGGATGCTTCCATACTCCATAGAGTCCCCCTATCATCCACCCCTTGCTGCTGTCCATCTATTGCTTCTACTGACATGCATTGACCACCATTGAATCCCCGAATGATTCTGATGGATTTACCGGATGATCATTATCTAGACCGGAGGCTTCTTCTTCTGGGTTTGAAGGCTCTCGAAGTTCATCTTCTGCATTTGGATCAATCACTGGGATCTGACTTGCATCAAGCCCAGGCGGATGACCCGGTAGGGATTCTGTTCGAGAAACCCGGCGTAGAGGCTCTTCCTCTGGCTGATTCGACCTGGGCATTGGTTCTGACCTCGACTCTGCAATCGATGGCTCATAGTCGGTGTCGATGAGTTCAGAGAACTGAAACATTCCACTTCGGTCTTTCAGATCCTTTTTGAGTTTCTCTGCCATCTCTTGCAAACGATGCGTGTCCCCGGTCTGACTGAAACCGTGATGACTTTGGAACTCACGCAGGGACACAGACCGCATGTTCTCTCTTGCGACCCTCAACAGCCTATTCAGGTGTGTTACCCATACTATGGTACGCGATTCATGCATGATGACTTGACAGGGACCTACCCATCTGCCTTTTTCGAGCATATTTGGAGCCTTTCGTTTATCCCATACCATGCATAGTTCACCACATTTCCAGTCATGTTCTCTTCCCCGGGATTGTCTTAACATGGCTCTTCGGATTGACTGGCTATTATCTGCATCGATGAGGGCTTTCCTGGCTTCGGTTCGAACCTGCATCCTTTTCTGAAACACATCGGCTTGTGGATCTTCACTATCTGCGAGAGAGTGTGCCGTTGTGTCCTCGTCGTTGCAAATGGATCCAGGAAGTCGTCTTGATCTTCCCAGAACGGCCTGCTCTGGACTGAACCCCTTCGCAACGCTCATACTGTTCTTAGCCTGGAAGCATTGGGACAGTGCATAATCGAAATCTTTGTCGCTTCGAATCGGCACGTGGTTGTCTACCCTACTCAGCATTTCTTTTATAATGCCCCCATGCCTTTCTATTCGTCCTCTTTGCCAGGGTGCTGCGGAGGTCTGCGTTTGAATGCCGTTTTGCTGCATCATGTTTTTCCACTGTTGGCTTACGAACTCTCCTGCTAAATCATGATGGATTATTTGAGGGGGTCCGGCCCAGTGAATCCAGGTTTCATTGACTACTTTCTCAGCTTCTTCTGTTCCTCTCTTACACCTTCTCCCCAAATGAAAGTGAGTGGCTTCATCAAAGATGTGAATGACATAATACTTCTTTCCATTGCTATCTTTCCACTCGAATCCGTCTAATGCAATCACTTCGTTGAAGTCTTTTGGTTCTTTCAATTTACCGGGAGAATGAAGTTTCGGTGGAACCCTTTCTGAACAAGACTGACAAAGGTAGTCACCGGCACCCTCGATCAATTCTTGTGAAAATTTCAATCTCTTCAGGTGGCTGGCTAACTTCTCAGCTGTGGGATGACCTAGATTATTATGGATTCTCTGAATTAGAGACCTTTGGAAGCTATCCAGGCTGTGGAACTTCGGACCCGAATTGTTTGAGGATTGAGGAGACCATGCTGGAATCATTACTTTTGATGGCTCTTCTTTTCCTGTGTCTTCTCGAATTTCCACAGCATACGGCTTGGCTGGCTCTCCGACCTCTGCTCCGTTCGGCTCTGGCTGTTCATGCGAACCTTCAGCATCTGCAATCTGTGGGTCAGGATCACTTTGTCTCTGGGATGCTTCTGCTCTGCTTTCTTCTCTAGTCGAATCTACCCCAAACACACAAACCATGATGTGACTTGGCATGGCTGTCCTACGCTGTTGCCTGAGGGTCAACCGTGTCCAGTTCTCTTCACCTAGATCAACAATCTGCTTGGTTTTACGGCACTGGCATATGGTTCTTCGGATTTCATGGGTGGTTTCTCCTATGAGATACTTATCCATGCCTTTTCCTGCGAGAATCTTTCGAACCTGGAATTCACATTGTTCGACAATGAAGTTTCCTGGCCACGTTCCTATTGAGACCTCGATGGACCCTGACTTTGGCAGATTCTTCTGGAACCAATCGAAGGCTTCGATCCAAGTCTCATCAGCTAGGACTTTCCTTGCTGAGTCATCGGATACTTCTTTCCTCTTCGATTCACGTGGTGGCTCAAAACGTGCGCGCTTCGCAGGTGGATGCTCTTCATCAACAGGAAACAAATTCTCCCAATCTTCTTCAAAGACAACTGGGATTCTTGCTGGTTGAACCTCCTGCAAAATGCTCCGGGCTGCGGCTCTTGCAAAAACTCTGGGATAAAATGCTGCATATCGAGACAATGCCATTCTTTCTCCTAAATGGTTGCACGAACCCGCAATTTGAGCATGTTCATGGTTCTTCTTGCAATACCGTCCATCAAGGTCCTTGACTATTTGGTCTGAGGTGGTTTGCAAACGAGTATGCTTCTTTAGGGGTCTGTCGTCTTCGGGATGAATAAGTCCAAACCTGCATTGATCTAACTGAACTGTCTTCGTCAGTGCTAGTAGTGGCTCAAGTTCAGGTTGTTTCCATATATCGGATGTTCCTGGGTTCTCGGCTGTGAAATGTCTTTGTTGTTGTACCTGAATCTTGCAGATGAGTGTGCACAGTTCCAAATGTTGTTTGGACAACTCACGATTCCTTTGAATCTTCTCGAACAAGGAGGTACTTCTTCCGGCATTGAAACGATTCCATGCGCACCATGGAAAGC